ATGAAGAGTACAAAGTGGAGGCTATCTTGAATTGTAGAAAGAGGGGCGGACAAACCCAGTTCCTCATCAAATGAAAGGGTTATGGACCAGAGGATAATTCCTGGGAACCGTCCACTAATGTCCACGCCCCACGGATAGTCCAAGCCTACCTCTGTCATCATCCTGAGAAACGCCCTAGTGGGCACCTGGAGGCTGCCCCTAAGGGGGGGGGCAATGTAAGAGAATTCCTGCAAGGAGAATCGCGATCGTTGTGCGAAAGAGATCCCACAGAAGAATTGCGGGTTGTGCGCAGGCGCGCACTATCGCGCACATGCACCCACACATGCACACGCACGGCGAAGATTGGCGCCAGACAGGCTATTTAAGGTGCGCCTCTGCCCGGATTCAGTGCTGACTGTTCTTCAGCTCCCCCCAGCTCCCCCCTGGGTCCTGCCAATTCCTGTGTGATTCCTTTGGTGCTGACCCGGCTTGTTCCTGACCTGACTCTGAGTACTCTCCTACCCCCGGTTCCTGACTTCGCCTCTGATCCTGACTTTGGCTTTTCCTCCTGATCCTGTACCACTCCAGTCCTGTGTCCTGGCTACAAACCTGGCTCTGCTGTGCATCTGGCAATCCACTGTACCTGCCTGGTCTATTGCTACAGTATCCAAATCAGAGGATATCCTGCCTACCAAGGTCATCATCTGCAAGAGCCGCAAGCAAACCTCTGGTGCTCTTGTCCCCCTGGTCCCTAGACTCCCTCTGTTCCAACTTCAGCGGGGTCAGGGCTAGTGACACAAGTGAGGCCGACCTCATCAATTCAGTCTCCCATCAGATACGTGACAGGAACTCTAAGAATCCTAATTTAGGGGGGATACTCTGGAGACCCTGATGTCAGGGATGGTGACTCTGGGGACCCTGATGTGAGGGGGGAGGCTCTCAGGATTCTTATATAACTACCAATAACCTATCTGTGCAATTACATGAAAACTTTCTGGGAGAAAGCTGACATTGAAAAAAGTGATCTCACTACTCTTTCCCAACAATGCAATAGCACAATAGTGAAAATTATAAATATCTCAGAAAAAGTGTATAATAGAATCCACATCAAACTCTACATGTGCTTGTGTTCATATCAAAGTCACAATAAGAATACATAATTAAATGAAAACTGTGATATCAAATAAATGATTAAATGGTACAGTGCTATAGCCCACAAGTGAGTGCAATAGTGCTCTTTTCCCTACAATTGAAATTGTGTAGTGAAAAAATCTTATCACAGGGCCGGTTCACGCCACAGTTTCTGCAGTCCAGATGTGTTTCTGCATGCACAGTTTTGATGATTTCCAGTGCTTTTTTTACGTGTTCCGGTGTTTTTTCCCCTCTTTTTTTTCTTCATCTCAGTTGAGGACGTATGCGTTCCGATGCGTTTTTGATGTATTTTCTCATGTTCCAGATGCATTCCATACAGAACAAAATGCAACATTGTTCTACTTTTCACTGTACTTTTCACTGTACTGGAATGCACTGCACAGGTGTGAACTATTGGAATCCATGTTAACCACTTGCTGACCGCCCTATAGTAGAAATACTGCTACAGGGCGGCAGTGGTGCACAAAATCACATATACAGTTGTGTTCAAAATAACAGCAGTCAGACATCACTAACCTGATCAATCACTGTCTTTGGTAGAAATGATATTTCTACATGGCAAATAATTTACTAGCAGGTGTAGTAGAGTAATAGAAATCCAACAGACCCAACAGTCATGACATGCATGCTGCTGATTCTGTGTAATTGAATCACTAATTGAAAGGGGCATGTTCAAAATAATAGCAGTGTGGAGTTCTATTAGTGAGGTAATTCATTCTATGAAAAGCAGGTGGCAATTATTGCCCTTATTTAAGGAAGGAAGGAAGGCAGCAAATGTTGTACGTGCTGGTTACAGTGCATTTCTCTCTGAAATTCTGAGGAAAATGGGTCGTTCCAGACATTGTTCAGAAGAACAGCGTACCTTGATTAAAAAGTTGATTGGAAAGGGGGGAAAACATTTAAAGAAGTGCAGAAAATGATAGGCTGCTCAGCTAAAATGATCGCAAATGCTTTAAAATGGCAAACAAAACCTGAAAGACGTGGAAGGAAGCGAAAAACTACCATTCGAATGGATAGAAGAATAGCCAAAATGGCAGCTCCAGGAAGATCAAAGAAGGTCTAAATTTACCTATGAGTACTGTTACAATTAGAAGACGCCTATGTGAAGCCAAGCTATCTGCAAGAAGCCCCCACAAAGTCCCCCTGTTTAAAAAAAGACGTGCTGAAGAGGTTACAATTTGCCAAAGAGCACATTGACTGGCCTAAAGAGAAATGGCGCAACATTTTGTGGACTGATGAAAGTAAGATTGTTCTTTTTGGGTCTAGTGGCCGGAGACAGTTTGTCAGATGACCCCCAAACACTGAATAAAAGAGTATACTGTGAAGACAGTGAAGCATGGTTGTGCAAGCATCATGATATGGGGATGTTTCTCATACTACGGTGTTGGGCCTATTTATCGCATACCAGGGATCATGGATCAGTTTGAATACATCAGAATACTTGAAGAGGTCATGCTGCCTTATGCTGAAGAGGAAATGCCCTTGAAATGGGTGTTCCAACAAGACAACGACCCCAAGCACACCAGTAAACGTGCAACATCTTGGTTCCAGACCAACAAGATTGGCGTTTATGGAGTAGCCAACCCAATCCTTGGATCTAAATTCAATATTAATTACCGTATTTTTCGCTCCATAAGACGCACTTTTTTTTCCCCAAAAAAGGGGGGAAAATGTCAGTGCGTCTTATGGAGCGAATATAGAGCGGCCGGTCCGGTATTTCCACCACCGCCGTGTCAGAATACCGGGCCGGCCGCTCAGCTCTGCAGTGGGACCTTACCTGTTCCTCTATCCAGCGGCGCGCTGTCTTCCCGGCTTCTGTAGTGTGCGTGACAGCCGGGTCCCAAGTGCGCATGCGCAAGAAGCGGTGCTCTTTGTGAATGGTAAGGCGGTACCTGGGACACATGACAGATCCCAGAAGCCGTCGGACCAATCACAAAGCGCAACACTTCTCGCGCATGCGCACTGGGCATCCGGCTGTCCGCCGAGCGCCCACACTACAGAAGCCGGGAAGACAGCGCGCGGCTGGATAGAGGAACAGGTAAGATCAAAGAAAAACTGCGGAAGTAAGAGCGGGTACCTGTCAAATTCAGGTACCCGCTCCCCCTCCCACCCCAAAGGTCAGCAGTCATCTCCTGTACTGTCCGCAGTCTCTGGTCATCCCTGTGCTGTCCGCAATCACTGGTCATCCCTGTGCTGTCCGCAGTCACTGGTCATCCCTGTGCTGTCCGCAGTCACTGGTCATCCCTGTGCTGTCCGCAGTCTCTGGTCATCCCTGTACTGTCCGCAGTCTCTGGTCATCCCTGTACTGTCCGCAGTCTCTGGTCATCCCTGTACTGTCCGCAGTCTCTGGTCATCACTGTACTGTCCGCAGTCACTGGTCATCCCTGTACTGTCCGCAGTCTCTGGTCATCTCCTCTACTATGTCTGCAGTCCAGTAGTTCAGAATTTTTTTTTTCCTGTTTTCATTTTTCAGTTTATATAGTGAATGTTTGAGTTTGTAAAGAAGAATACAAACAATGTTATTTTTTTGAACAGTCTAATATTCACTTTTCTTCAATTTTTTTAGAGAAACAACACAAATTTGATATATTTTTCTTCATCTTTTGATTTGGAATAGAATGTGTAGTGTTCCCAATGCATTTGTGTGTATGGAAATAAAAGCTATTAGAAGGATTTTGAGCTTTATTCACTTTTTTCAACACACTGCTTTTATTTTGAACACAACTGTATATATGTGATTTTGTATTTACAGGTGGGGGTGCGCACGAGCCACACACCGCCAATTCGCGGCTGCGGCTGTCAATCATCAGGCCGTAATTACTCGCCGTTGCCCAGTGATTTCCGAGGAACTCCGATGGGGAGGAGGACTGTTTTGTTTACTAACAGTCCTCCTCCCTGTCAGCGCGGTTACACTGCTGTGGATGGCTGTGCACAGCACAGTCACCCACAGCAGTGTGATTTCAGTGAATCACATACATCCCACCCTCTAGTAAAACACTCCCAGCACACAATTAACCCTTTGATCACCCCTCATGTTAACCCTTTCTGCCCAATGTCATTAGTATAGTGTCAGTGCTTTTTTTTTTTTTAGCACTGTATTGGTGTTACTGGGGATGTCAGTGACACCAAGTCAGTTCCCCCCAGTTTCAGAATGTCCACTGCAGTCCTGCTATAAGTTGCTGATCGCTGCCATTACTAGTAAAAATGAAAAAAAAATAATAAATTCCCAGTATATATACCGCCATTTGTAAATGCTAGAACTTTCACGTAAACCAATTAATTTACCCATATTGGGATTTTTTTTTAGCAAAGACGTAGCAGAATACATTTTGGCATAAATTTATGACAAAATAAGATTTTTAACATTTTTTTGCTGAACATGTTTAATCACTTGCCTACCGGGCACTTATACCCCCTTCTTTACCAGGCCAATTTTCAGCTTTCAGCGCTGTCGCACTTTGATTGACAATTGCATGGTCATACAAGATTGTACCCATATGAAATTTTTATCATTTTTTTCTCACAGATAGAGCTTTCTTTTGGTGGTATTTAATCGCCACTGGGCTTTACTTTTTGTGCTATAAACAAAAAAAGTGAAAAAAATTTGAAAAAAAAAAAGTTTCTTTATTTCTATTATAAAATTTTTCAAACAGGTAATTTTTCTCCTTCACTGATGTGCGTTGATGAGGCAGCACTGATAGGCAGCACTGAAGGGCATTGATAGGCAGCACTAATGAGGTGTCACGGATAGGTGGCACTGATAGGCGGCACTGATGATGGGTACTGATAGACAGCACTGATAGGTGGCACTGACTGACATCATTGCTGGGCACTGACTGGTGGCACTGCTAGGCATTGACTGTCGCAACTGCTGGGCACTGACTGGTGGCACTGACTGGCAGCACTGCTGGGCTGCACTGATAGGCACTGCTGGGCACAGGTGGGTGGGCACAGGTGGGTGGCACTGCTGGGCACAGGTAGATGGCACTTCTAGGCACAGGTGTGTGGCACTGCTGGGTGGCACTGGTGGGCACTGCTGGGCACAGGTAGGTGCACTGCTGGGCACAGGTGGGTGGCACTGCTGGCGCTTGTGGGCGGAACTGGTGGGTGGCACTGCTGGGCACCGATCATCAGGGCACTGATCATCAGTGCCCTGATGATCGGTGCCGATCCCTGCTCTCACAACTGCCGGTTCTCGGCAGTACTTTCCTCACGCTCTGACAGCGTGAGGAAAGTGCAGCCGAGAACCGGCAATTGCATTTCCCAGTGATCAGCGTGTCATTAGACATGGCTGATCACGTGGTAAAATGCTGTGATTGGCCTTTTACCACATCACATGATCAGCTGTGTTCGTAGGACACAGCGATCATGGAGATCGCCAGGAGCACGCAGCAGAGCGCGTTCTGGGAGGACCTCATATGACGCCCTCCCAGAACTGGCCGGCTGCAGTGTAGCCATCATTCGACTATCTGCGGTCGTCATGTGGTTAATAGCAAAAAGTCCAAATATTGTTTTTTTTTTTTCTCAAAATTGTTGTGCTTTATTTTTATAGCGCAAAAAATAAAAAACCGCCCAGGCGATCAAATACCACCGAAAGAAAGCTCAATTCATGGGAAAAAAGGATGTAAATTTCATTTGGGTGCAGCATTGCATGACCGCGCAATTGTCAGTTGAAGTAACACAGCGCCATAACGCAGAAAATGGCCTGGTCAGGAATGGGGGTAAATCCTCAGGAGGGCAAGTAGTTAGACACTGTCCATGCATTCTTAATGCAGAATAAAAGTGCACTGAACTGCATCTGGTGTGAACCAGCTCCCTGTGACACTCCAATTTGCTCACCTTAACCACTAGCCTACAGGGCACTTTCGCCCCCTTCCTGCCCAGGCCAATTTCCAGCTCTCAGCTCTGTCACACTTTGAATGACAATTGCGTGGTCATGCAACACTCTACCCATATGAAATTTTTATAATTTTTTTGTGACAGATAGAGCTTTATTTAGGTGGTATTTAATCACCTCTGGGTTTTTAATTTTTTCTTAAACAAACCAAAAACCACTGAAAATTTTGAAAAAAAAACAAGTTTTTTCTTAGTTTTTGTTGTAAAATTTTGTAAATAACTGATTTTTCTCCTTCACTGATGTGCGCTAATGAGGCTGCAGTGATGGGCACTGATAGGCTGCACTGATGGACACTGATAGGTGGCACTGATGAGGAGGCACTGGTAGGTGGCACTGATGGGCATTGACAGGCATCACTGATGGGAACTGAAAAGCAGCACTCATATATGGCACTGATAGGCGGCACTGATGCACACTGATAGGTGGCACTGACTGGCACTGATGGGTGACACTGAAAGGCAGCTCAGATGGGCACTGATAGGTGGCATTGATGTGGCACTGATGGGCACTGGCACGTGGCACTGTTCAGCACTGACAGGTGGCACTTCTGGGGCCACACTGATCATCAGTGCCCTGATGGTCAGTGTACATGTCCCCTCTGTGGAATGCCGATTACCGGCTCTCCTCTCCTCACGAGCTGTCAGCGTGACAGCTCGTGTGGAGAAATCCCGATAAATTTCCCTGTTTACATGTGATCAGCTGTGATTGGACACAGCTGATCACATGACCGAGCCGACATCTTCAGCTCTTTCCGTAGACCGGTGATCTGCTCCCTGAGCCGCACATGCGCTGCGAGAATGGGAGGATGTCATATGATGTCCTCCCAGAATGAGAGAACCACCTTGCGCCCGTCATTGGGCTATATGGCGGGCGGGAGGTGGTTAATATTATGAACCCTACTATAATATGGAGTAAAAACAGCTTGTCTTTTCCTGCAGAGGTTAATGCTGAGGCCTGGTCTCCATTAATACTCCGGAAGGACATCACAGCTCAGTTTGAATCAACATATGAACCACCGCATAGAAAAAAAAATCCTTATAGTGCTCACTGTATTCATTTATTGAATCAAATCAGAAGTTAAAAACACTTAAACACAATAAACAAATGACTACAGTGCCAAAACACGCATACTCAATCCATAAAACTCAAATCCAGAAAGCATGAATACAGATACTGCTCACCACATCAAAACATCTTGTCAGCGCTTGACAGTTCTAAAAGCGTAATAACGTGATCAGATATAGGCTCCATCCATATGCATTATATCCAATAGCAGGACTTCCTCAGTAGGAGGAAACCTGATGCCGCATGGACAGAGGACTCAATTTTTCACCAAAATAAGAATATTCGCTAAGATTGTTACACTTCATAATCTAAAAACACTGGCTTGATGGGTGCTGGAACTTGGTAAGCTCACCATCAGAAAGGAACCTGGCAGCATCAGGAGTTCTGTCTGGTACCAGAGCAGCAGCCATAGTTGGAGTAGTTTTCATTTGATTATGCAATGACCAACAGTTTGCGCATCACTTTACAACATGAGGGCAAACAGTTCAGTTACAATACAGTTCAATACAGAGGAATCAGTGGGCCCTGTTCGTTAGAGATAATCTAAAAGGCAGGATTAAGGCATACAAAAGGTAATAACTGTGGGAGATGTGGCAAATGAGATTTAATGTTGATAAATATAAGGTTATGCACTTGGGGGCTAAGAATATGCATGCATCATACATACTAGGGGGAGTACAACTGGGGGAATCAATGGTGGAGAAGGATCTGGGAGTTCTGGTAGATCACAAGCTTAATAATGGCATGCAATGCCAAGCCGCGGTTTCTACAGCAAGCAAAATCCTCTCTTGTATTAAAAGAGGTATAGACTCCAGAGAGAGAGATATCATATTACCCCTGTACAAATCATTAGTAATACCTCATCTGGAATATGCAGTTCAGTTTTGGGCACCAATTCACAAAAAGAACATTGGGGAACTGGAGAAAGTGCAGAGAAGGGCAACCAAACTGATAAGAGGCATGGAGGAGATTAGAGAAACTGAATTTATTCTCTCTTGAGAAGAGGTGATTAAGGGGAGATATGATCAACATTGTAAGCTCCAAGGAGCAGGGCCCTCCTATCCCTCTTGTATTGAACTATATTGTTGCTGTATTGTCTCCCATTATATTGTAAAGTGCTGAGCAAACTGTTGGCACTATATAAATCCTGTATAATAATAATAATGTATAAATACATCAGTGGTACATATAGTGAACTCGGTGTAAAGTTATTCACCCTGAGATCATCACAGAGCACAAGGGGGCCTCTTTACGTCTGAAGGAAAAGAGATTTAATCTCCAAATACGGAAAGGTTTCTTCACAGTAAAAGCTGTGAAAATGTGGAATAGACTCCTTCAAGAGTTGGTTCTGGCCAGCTCAGTAGATTGCTTTAAAAAAGGTCTGGATTCTTTCCTAGATATACAGAATGCTAACATTTATAGGTAAAGTTGATCCAGGGAATATACAATTGCCTCTTGGGGGATCAGGGAGGAATTTTTCCCCCTGCAGGAGCAAATTGGATCATGCTTTGCTGTGTTTTTTTTTTTCTTTCCTCTGGATCAATTGAGTATAGGATTATAACTTTTTTTTTTTAATGGTTGAACTAGATGGACTTATGTCTTTTGTTAGCCAGACTAACTATGTAGCGCATTAGAGAATTTTTAGTTAATTTCAAAGTAGGAGATTGTCTGTCAGATTGGGGTACAGAGTTCCAGAGGATAGGAGCAGCTCAGGAGAAGTCCTTGACATGAGCATGGGAGGAGGTGACAAAGGCACTAGAGAGCAGGAGGTCCTTGAAGGAACGAAGAGAATGATTTGGTTGATATTTTGAGACTAGGTTAATGATGTAGCTGAGGGCAGAGTTGTGTATGGCTTTGTAAGTTATTGTTAGTAATTTGAATTTAATTTGTTGGGTGAGCAAAAGTCAGTGTAGGGATTGGCAGAGAGGGGTAGCAGACACTGAGCGATTGGTAAAGTGGATGAGTCATGATGGACTGAAGGGGGATAACCTATGTAAAGGTAATCTGATGATGAGGTAGTTGCAGTAGTCGAGGCAAGAGATAACCAAAGATCACACTACACATGTGAGGTTGCGCTGCAAATGTCAGAGTGAGAGCAATAATTTGAGTTTGAGACCTCCTTTTTTAATAGAGTGCTCTAGGCAATACCAACATTCACCAAAGTTCAGTTACATAAATAAAGTGCAATATGTGACATAATTTACATTCACCAAAGTGCTTCTCTGAATGTCCTTTATAATTAAAAGTGTCTTCTGCAAGTGCAACACAGTCCACAATGTACCTTCAGTGCATCACTACACCTATGTGCCTCCACCACTGCTCAGGAGAACAATAAAAAACCACAACCCCCCACAACTCTGTATAAAGGATGTCCCACATTATGCAGGCAGCTGGATCTTAGAGAAATGTTCACTACCAGCTTGCCTTGTTCTCTTCCGGTCTCTGAACCTGTTCTGCAATGGTTAAAAGCTTCAGGTCTTGAAGCAGAACAGCAGTACAGTTGGTACAATGGGGACTGTTTCATTGCTTACACTGTCTGTAACATGATCTCTGTAAGGTGATAGTTCATACAGGTGAAGTTCATTACTGGTGGTTCTCCAGAATCCTCGGGGATGTAGAGGACTGCCGGGTGCAGCAATCACTCCTCCAACTCGAATCCAATGATAATTTTTGTCACCATTTCATGGGCATGCACAGTTTTAAAGTGTGACAAGTTGGGTATCTATTTACTTGGTGTAACATCACCTTTTATATTTTACCAAACAATTGGGAAAATACTGTGTTTGCATGCACTAAAATTTATTAAAGTGTATTTTTTTCCTGAAAATTTGCATTTGATAAACCACTGCACAAATACTGTGCAACATAAAAAAATTGCAACAACAACCATTTTATTCTACAGGGTTTCTGATTAAAACATATATAATGTTTGGGGGTTCTAAGTAATTTTCCCAAATAGTCTTCCAGGACAGCTCATTAGATATAGGCACCTCCTCCAATAGAAACAAGAAACACATCACTAAATACACTTTAAAAGGAAGTACTTCTGCTGAACTGGCCAGTTTTTTTGTGTTTCCTCCAGCCGGAGGAGATGTATCACCTGGAACCTGGGTAAGAGGCCTCTGTTTCTCTGGCTGTCATTTTCTTCCACCCACTACTTTACCTACGTGACTCCCCTGGGAGCAGCTAGCAGGACTCTCTTTGAGAGTGCCCTCCAGGACCCCTCCTCAGTATGGGAAGGAAGTGGCTTGGATCCCTTTCTCCTGGGGAAGGCAATTTCTGGAGGCACACACCACACTGACAGGGACCAGAACGGGCAGCATGGGTTCCTAGTCTGGGTGCATTGCACTGTCTGCACTGTAGGACACTTCGTGGTTGAAGTGCACATGATAGCTGCATTGGTTTGTGGCCTGGCTGTACTACTGTTTGATTGGATGATGCTGGGGCATTAATCCTGTGAGGAGTGAAGCCATTTTCAGGTGCCAGAGGCTCTGGTTCAAAGCCTCATTTTCGGAGAAGGGGAAGGGCTGGCTGGTGCCTTAATGGTGGTTCCTTCCAGCGGAGGCTGTCAGGATGATAAAGGTGGCGGAGCTAATACTGCATTTTGGATTCTTCAATGCAGCCTGCAGCTCAGGCAGATACAGGTGCCCTTGACACCAGCAGGACACAGGTAAGCTGGAGGTTGCTATACCTACTTGCTTTCACTTGTGTTTGCTTCTAGGTTTTCACCTAGCCTGTAATCTGTCACCTGAGGCCCCTGCGTGTTGGGCTTAATATGACAGGGCACTCTTGGGCTCTAGCTATCTACCACGGTGCAGGCAGTGCCCAATGAATGTGAGTGTTGCTGCCAATCCCACCACCATCCCCAGGCCGATCCAGACACAGGGCGGATGCCCATTCTGCAGCTGGAAGAGCTTCTTATAGGGAGTTTGGGGGTCCTAACTGATTTCCTTTCTTGAATGGATTTCTTAGGATTTAGCTCCTGGAGAGGAGGAGGAATCAGCCATTGCTTGTAGCAGACTTCTGTATAGTGAAAAGAGGAGCTGGCCTCCACCCCTTTAGGTTTTGGTAGATATGAGACCCCTGTCCAACTTGAACAGTACCAAGAATATCTTCCTCTGTGCTGTAGGCTGTAAGGTTTCTTCAAAAGGTTGGTCTTGTTTGTGATTTGCTGGCCCCACTACTCCTTCCCAGCTGGAATCATGTAGTAGGTCCAGCAAAAGGAAATTTTCCTCTACTTTAAGAGTTGAGGATGATGATTCTTCCTGTGAATATAGGTGCTAATCCCCTGGCAGTAAGCAAGCTCAGTAGACTACCTGAACAAGGGTACTTTGAAATGGGACAGAACAGATGTAGACGGACATAAACAGATGACATCCGTTTACATCCTAGCTGTTTGATCCATTGTTTCATATATTTTTTTCATACAATAGGAAGTTAAATCCC